ACAAAATGCATTTACATGAGTCGCTTGAAATATTACCATAATTTACACTTTATCAGCTTCAAATTGATTAAATCAAATGAAGATTGGTGTGAGGGGGAGGGGAATTCACTGGATCCCCCTCTTGAAATTAAATTTGTTTAACCTAAAAACACAATAAAACAACCTCCAATTTTGTTCTCTCTTGAATATATTTGGTAACGAATGACGGATTACATGCTTTTTTTATTTTATAATAATACAAATGAAAAAAGGAAGATATCAGAAACGGTGAGGGGGGGGGGGGGAGTTCGTTTATGTTCCTCGCAATTACCAAAGGCCTACATCAATGTACATTTCTAATGAAAAAACCCATTGTGTTCGCATAAACAGCAATTACTTTAAACAATTGACCAAGCCAAAATCTAGTTCTTATTAGTGATATAAATCAGACAAACGTGACCTTTTCCTTCAAATTGCGAATGATCGATTAGTTTTATCAGTGTAATTAGGTTTTAATTTAACTTGAGGTACAGCGCTATATGCTCCTATACGGATGAACGAAGTCTGATATCAAAATTGCGCTTGAAGTAAACTTGCACTGTTATGTATAATATAAAAAGTCCAGATCAGTCAAATGGCCCAGTGAGATTTTCTTTTTAAAAACATATCATGTTACATTATTCCATGAAACGCGGATCTGAGAAAAAATAGTTAGGGCCACAATAAATTTGTTATCATTAATAATAATGGCCACTTTCAAAGCACTCGCATTTGTCAGATAGTTCGTGGCGCTTAGACAATTTCCCCCTCATTGTTTATTGGTATCGTTCTTATTTGATTCGAAATGAATGTGCGATTATACTACTCCCGACTGCGGTCTAATTGGATAGTGAAGCCGCTTTTCTGAATCAGGGTGATGGGCCAGTGTACTCCTGGTAATATATTTATAACGTGCGACGTTCACACAATTTTGATTGCAGTTAGATTGAATTGAATCTTTATTTACCCCAAACATATCTCACAGATTTCTCACAGTTTTTACAATCACGATTTCATCTACTCTTTCTCGGAGAAAGAAAACATAATTTTAGTAATTCGGAAAAAAAAGTACCGAGATCACTGACCGAGAGTAGAGTGCACTATCTTTATAGATACTCTAACCGGGAGCAGAGCCATCTATACGCCATATTGTGTCCAACCAAACTCTGTGTATAGATGGCTCTGACCGGTAGCTCGATATAGCGCCATCTAGTGCTAGTCGCTCCTATAATACCATTTCCCAGCAGATATTTTTTCTTCTATCCTTTAATCACCATAAACAGCAATCTAAGATGGACCAATTCACACTTCAAAGATTTTTTTTTTTTTTTGGTATTACGATCGATCTCAAAACACATTTGCTCGAATAGAAAAGCCTTAAACTGTTAGGCCTTTATGCAACAGGAAAACAAAAAATGTTGAAATTAAGATTTGTATAATACCGTTTATTGCTATTCATTCTAAAAATGAGTTAATAGAGTGCATGTTGTTATATACACTTATTATGAATTGATTAGTGTTAAAAAAAAGAAATATATATTCCTCTGCCTTTTCAGCTATTTGTAGGCTGACTAAAAAAAGATACGAGGATGCATAATTAGGATATTCTAAAACACCCTTGCTATTGGGGAATTCGACAGTCTTTTCAGCAATACAGTTTCAAAAGGTGTATAAATAACTATTCCAGTCTCTTTATTCAGTTATTAATATAAATAATAATGCTTCAATATGTTCCACACAGAATAAGCCTAATTGTGCTTTGGTAGAAAACCTGATATCTCCTTAAAGGCATCGTTTAACAATGTTAAATGTGAGATGCATGGCCCTATGTGTTATCAGTGTCTGTGAAATGGTGTAATATTGAAGCCCTAAATAATTACACTTCAAAATGATCATGAAGTGCATGAAACAAATCTTTTTGTGACCGGTTTTACCATACTCATTTTCCCAACAGACTGTAGAGTTAAAAAAAAAAAGTTGTTTGGAAATTTCGATTTCCAATCGTAAATATCTTGATCATCAGACAGGCGATAGCCTTCTAAATTTCATGAGATTCCTGACTGACCTAAAGGTTTATAATAATGATTGCAGCATGAGCTAAATCCAAAATTTTGATTAGAATCTGAGGCAAAGATACCCAATCCTGAGTCCATTTTGATAAAATAAAGATGTAATTGCCACTCCAAATTGAAGAAAATAAAGATATGCTCCATTCTCTTTCTGCTACGAAAGAAAGTTATTACCCTTGATATAAATTGTTATGCAATCCCTTTGGCTATACGCACATCAAAGTTATCCCTCCCAGGCACGCTAGTCTACCAAAATATTTAGTAGCCATAACATAATATCCTTTTTAACTGCTTTTACCTCGAAACGAATGGGCGTTTGATAATGATCTTGATCTAAAGGCAATTAAGCCCATTAGAGAGATTCCTAACTCATTTCATAAAATTATCATATTGCTTTTATCTCCACCTTGTTTTCCCGTTTAGTGCATGGTAATGAAAAGGATTGAAAGCGAAACAGCAAATTTAACATCATTAAAAAAGAAGAAGAAGAAGTGAGCAAGATGTTGCAACTACTAATACATTTTGATTGGAAACATGTTTTTTTTGCATCATAAATTGAAAGAGATCAGAGATACTCACGTCAGACGATTTAATTTTAGACTGCTTCCTAATTTTTTTTTCTCTTCAAAGATAATCTTTATAAGTCGACAATCACAATGCGATATACTTTTGTACATTTTGTAACGAAAAAGAGTCGTTGTAAATATTTCGCTTAGATTTTGCCAAATCGCAGCCCTAATAACTTTTTTAAAGCAAAAGATATCTTGATCGAAGAAGAACTCTTGATAATTGGTTCAAACATTCATGACTCAGATTATCTATGCATGCCCATTATGCAGTTTATAAGATTTATACTTGATCATTATAGAAGTATATTCTTTAGCAGTTAATTTGGATGTAAGGAATGAAATGTAAAAAAAGAAAGAAAAAAAAAAGAGTTGATATTAAAAGTAATCTGAAGATGTATCCGCTTACCTTAAGCTTTAATGCATTTGCTGATTTTGTAAATATTGTCATCGAGTCATAGATGAAATGTTGTTGATGATATAATGTAATAACGTACCTCGAAAAAGGAAAAGAAAACCTTTTTATTTCCTTTCTGAATAATCCGGGAGCGATTTTTTTGTGTTACACTTTTGCCTTCCTATGATCCTTTAATATGCAAGCTAGAATTCTTGAAGTTCTGAACATGTGAGAGGAATTTAATCCCCAATACTTGAATGTACCTTTTTTATCGTAATGAAATTAATATATTCCATTTTTTCAATAATTAATGATCTTTAAAACGGTTGTGATGTAAATAACACCTTTTTTTTAAATCACTAAAATTTTCCCTTTTTTTATAACAAAGGGATATGTCATGAAAATATGCACTGCTAGCTTGAATTTTGCCTGATTCTTATTAATGCGAAAATGATTCGGAGTTAGCGAGCTGTTGTAAATGTCTTGCAGATATTTGTCCTAGTTCCCGGAGGGACAGTACTTTGATGTGCTATTTTTCTCTTATAAAGATACAATTGAGTTCTGGGAGTGCTTCACAAAGACTAAGATCGACTTTAAGTTGGACTTAAATATGCCAGGCCGTTCATGCCACTGTTTGCTATCACCATTATGATCTTAAGATAAAATATTTTTCCTTCAATAATGAATTATCAAAAAAAGGGTAAATTCTGTAGATTCGTGACCATTAATTGTACATCTCTTGAGAGACCAATGCTAGTAAAGGGTGAGAGCAAACAGAGGCATGAACAGCCTGCCACAGTTAAGTCAATCTTAGTCTTTTTGAAACACTCCTCTTTGCAATAAGATGGTGACAGAACCAGTCTGAGAGCAAATTTGATTGGCTGATTATGTAGCACAATGGGTTTTATAAACACTGTGAGGATTCTGATTGATTGAGTTGATGGGAAATTTATTAAATCTTTGTTTAAAAAAAGGAAAATGCTCTGCACCTAGAAACGGGTAAGTGGGACTACGGAGACATGTGGAATGACCAATGGCCTTAAGCTAATTATTTTGAATCACGAATACGAGGTCATTTTTAAAAGAGCAATCAATTTCAGGGGATATTTCTATTACTACTTACTTTCAAACTGACATTAACAAAATAATGTGTGTGCTGCTCTATCACTCTAATAGACTAGATATATTTCATCGACTGTTCAAAAAAGTCAGTTTGGGTCATAACTGTCTTTTCGAAATATGGCAATCATGCTGTTAGCATTATGGGAACATTTCTCCCTTACTGCTCAAAACACGACGCACCCACAGACGCACACAAATCACACACCCACTCTATCTCTACCCCCACTGCCTGTGTCTGTCTTTATCCTCTCCCTCCCTCTTTCTTTCTCCCTTTCCATCACACACACACTCACGCACAAAATACACCCACACACTTCTTCTTCTCCCCTTCTTCCCTTTTCACCCCTCTCTAGCTCTCTCTCACATAAAATAACAACCACATAGTGCACATAGCCACTCTATCTTCTCTCCCCTCCCTCTTTCAAATCCCTTTCTCTCTCATACATACACACACGAACACACACACCCACACCCACACAAACGCACACACACAATGCACACTCCCACTCTATCTTCCCACCCTTCTCCCTATTTCACTCACTCCCACACACAAACATCAAACACAAACACACACACACAAACTCTCTCACGCATACACACACTTAAACACACACATACACACGCACACACACTTTCTCTCTCGCTCAATCATCCATTCCATCTTCTCTGCCTCTCTCTCTATCTCTCTCTATCTCTCTCTCTCATATACAAACGCCCGCAACCACACATTGTCATTCACAATGCAAACAATTCTCTCTTCACACCCTCTCCCACATAGGCACACTCACTCAGGCACAATCTAACAATAAAAGCACAAAAGGCCACACATTTCTGTTTAAATTCATGGTGGGATTGTCATTGGTTGATCGTTTACATCACATCAAAACACGAAAAAGAAAACTTTGAACGATATATATCGAAAACAATTCATATATGAAAATAAAATTAAACGTAACCTAAAAAATAAAACGCAAGGTTATCCTGCAACTGTCTCGATTTACGCATACCCTCATGTACCTTTTTCTTCAATGTCATTTCTGTATTTTATGCAAAAAATCAATGCAGGCGCTGGTGTGCTTTGTCAGAAAAGGTCGCTTTGCATCTATCTAACAACAAAAACCAAAAAAGGTAAAGAAAGAAATACCTACAGCTTAATTATACACACATCAAATATATTCCTGCATCTCAATGTTACCTAAATAATCACTAAACTTTTCGAAAGCAGGATGATATTATCCTTATCCCTCCAGGATACGTTTTGTTTTTTTACATTATTTATATCAAGGAGATTGGAAGCCTATAATCGCGTTATTTCCTTGTTTTTAACAGAATGGAAATTTATACTAGTGGATAATTCCGAGCATCCGGCTTAGAGTTATTAAAACATGAGATAGACAAATTTACTTATAACAACCCAAACCTGTTTTTCATTAAAGACAAAGATATTCTAGATTGTATAACAGAAACCGTGATTTCAAAATCGTTGTAACTACCTCTTACACGCAATAGTCACTTAGTGTGTTTCAACAGATGCGTCACGTTAGGGTCTTTCAGAATTCAAACGCACAAGGATTTTCATCGTGAGCGTAATTTTCCTAATATAAAACGGTCCAATACACATGACACACGTCATCCATTATGTTCATTGGCTACTTGTTTTTCCTAAAATTATACATGAAAATTCTTTTCATATGAATATATAGAGAAATCTAAGATCAAACAAGATAAGTGCTATTTGCTTTTAAATTATATCGGCATTATGCTACTCCAAAATGAGTTTCATATTCAAATTTACAATATTTTTCATTTTAATAAAAAAGGAAAATTCCATTGAAAGATTTTCATTGTCTATAATATTTGGATACAACTAAATTCATATTCAAACAAGTAAATGCAACTAACTAATTTAAAGTACCGTAGATCATTATTTTTATGCCTTTTTCGGATAGCAATCGAGATACTACAGAAAAGTTTATGTAATTAAATCCTATAATCACTAATTGTGGTAGCGGCACTGACTCTTTAACAAAAATGTTAACCTGTTAATGTATATACAGAAACGTTTTAATGTTCATGAGATAAATTAGTAAATTTCATTCAAAACTTTAATTTTGAAATCATTTGTCACAGGCTCTTATCTGTAAAAACCCACTTCATTGACTTCAATTGGATGAACACGACTAATTCCTATTACTAACTGTTGTAAACAAAATCGTGAAGAGTATAGGAAAACAAAACCATCGACGTAAAAATGACAAAACTCTTTTACCATACAATTGCATACAACTTAGATATTCCTTTGTTTGCGTATTTTGGTCACTTATTCGGATTTAGGATAGAATGAATACATTTCACTGTGACGTAAGGTAAGTTAAATAGGTTTTGTTTTTGTACAGATAATAGTACATCTTGTAGAACGACAATTTTATGAATTAAAACCATGCCTGGTAGGTGACGAGGAAAACAATTAGGAAAATAAGAAGTATGACAAAACCTTTACTTTGCGATTTCTTGGAAAGTTTTTACCAATTCTATACTTTTGATCTGGGAGAAGGCCCAAGAAATGTTTTTAAAATGACGCAACATGACTAGATATTCTCTTTTTTTCGTGATTCTATTACATAATGAAATCGTGGACGTTTTGGAAGGATTGTTTGAAAGAAGTTTATCTTGGTTGAAGTCTCATGATGACACGAGATGAGGGGTCTTAACGCTTGCCGGCCTCTGAGAGCATCCTGTCCATGAGTGATCGGTAGAGTCTCCCGTTGGCCAGGTCTTGTCTGACCATCATGTAATCATTCTGGGCTAATGACCTTTTGTCAGTACTAGCGAAGAATATGAGGAGAAAAGAAAGAAAAACAGGTATACAATATTAATATTAATTTATTAATCATGCGACGAATTATACCTTCTTTTAATTGCATATTATCCCTCGTGACTTGCACGCCGGACAGAAGTTAGAGTAGGGATGCGCCTAAAATCGGCTTGTAGCGTCATATTGAAACAAGGCTCACCTATTTATTTCCTAATATAATTACTAAGAAATGTTATCAATAAAATATATATATATATATGATATTTATTTAGCGCATATCACACTAACATCCTTATTTGCTGTAATGGGAGAAAGAAAAAATAAAGAAAGAGGATACTAATACGACTCGGATACGCTAAGCATACTTCCGTACGTCATCGGTTAACATTGGAAATGGTTTCTAAAAAAAATGTGTTATTGTGTTTGAACAGAAATTTTCTACGTAAGGTATGAATTTGCTCAAAGTATGTCCTACTACATAGTCAAGCAGATCTATCGATATCGCCTCGTCGGGAAAAGAAAGATAAACTACAAACCGAAGTAAAGCGTTTTTAGTCAACATGTTTGTAAATTTAATTGAAAAGGAATATGCCCGATTCATCAAGAGACCACATATAATGATGCATGATTTGAAACAAAAACCTACAGAGAATAGCGTTTTACCAGTTTTTGTGTATTGCCAAATACTGCATACGTTGATTAATTGTAATATGAATCGTTGATGAAATAAATTGACTTGACAAACATGCCATTAACTGTCTACTGTCTGCAACATTCATATCTTATACAACATTTTTTTTCTTAACTGATACCATCTCGGTCTCTCCATTTCTATTATGTTATATGAAAGAAAAATACAATGCGGGTAAGAATACGAAATGTTACTGCAAAACGAAATTGAAAAATGGCGAAATCGGATCATCACTTTCGATTTTGAGCAACCACATGATTTGCCCATGGCCAGATACCAGACTCCATGTTCATTCAAATCATGCGAATTACTGGTGAAATTGATATATGGTGTATGTTGCCGCTAATAGGTATGGCGTAGGTATATTTGCCATGGAGAATAAAAAGGAAGAAAAAGAGGGAGAAGAAACAGAAGGCTAAGAATAGAGAAAGAGAAGAAGAAGGGAAAACGAAGGAAAAGATGGAGAAGACAAAGGAAAAGACAAAGAAGAAGATGAAGGAAAAGCAAAGCAAAAGAGAGAGAGAGAGAGAGAGAGAGAGAGAGAGAGAGATAGAGAGGGAGAGAGAGGTAATGAGAGAAAGAGAGACATAAAGGGAAGGAAATGGATATTCTTATGAAGGACCAGAAAAGAACACCCTCCCGCACACCACCTATCATCGTTAGCATCGCTAATTTTCATGTCATTCATGGAGTAACAACATTCCCCCTCTCCAAAGAAGAGCCATTGTGCCCGCTTGCTTCGTTCCCGCACCCACCCACCAACGCTTTGCCAATTGATTGAACAATTTCAAGTACTTGTGAAACTGATCGATGCGGCTTATACGTCGAAATTCTTCTCCTTACCTTGAGCGCTTTCCTGCTTTAGCCAACATTTCATTCATCGCCTGAAGGAGTCGGGTTCGTCTCATGGAATTAGAACGTTCTTGATGTCTCATGGCAGCAAAGTCGTTATCAGCTATCCTTTTAGCACTATAAAAAAGCAGAAATAAAAACAAAGACTTTATATAATTTCATGTGTTAGCATGGTTATCAGCAATCCTTTTGGCACTTTGGAAAATGAGAACAAAACACAAAGACTTATATTCGTTAGCATGGTTGAAGATGCTTGTTTAAAAGGCAATCCATCCTTTGTAATGAGTTCATTTTTATGGAAGCAGACAAATAAGTGGAATAAAATGGTTAAAGATTATAAATGAATTTACTTGAAATTACTGATTCAGCCAATTTGTAGTGCCCATGCGTCTTGCGTGTAATGATAGCAACTTCGAAAATTCTTTTTTTCCCCTGCAATTTCATTCACCAGTCTGCTTTTCTGATTTCTCTGCTTACTTTTAGATTTGCTATTGTTTACAAATCAATGTAATTCTCCCCCAAAATGAATAAAGAAAACATGTCGTGTCTTTTCACAACTTTTTTTCCAGGACAGATTTATTTAGTTGTCCCCCCAAAAAAAGAAAAAAGAAAAAAGAAAAGAAAAGCAAGGCAAGAAAAATGAATCAACAAGTCTAGAACAAGAAAATTATAAAACAAGAAGAAAGAAAAGCAGACTGACGCAATGAAAGTGACTCGGGTCATCATCATATACATGATGCATTTTAACGAGGGTAAACATTATTTGTGTTGAACCAAACCCATGTCATGCCTCCGTTCACTTTCGTATTTAGTCGTGGGATGCTTGATCGGTAATTGTGAATGTAATATGCCCGGCAAGTCTAATGGAACGGGCTGTTGAGTAGGGAATCGAGCATTAATGTTGCGTTATCAACTGTTGCAGGTAAGCCACTTACAGATAGGTTACCGATAGGAGGGGGAGGGGGAACCTTGCAAAACCCGAATATGAATACACAACTTAATTTCTCCCTTCTTGCTCAATTAACAAAAGGCTCCTTAAAATTATAATGACGATTTGTTTGCTTATTTAAAAAAATTGTTTTCTTGGTGAGTCTTTTTTAATTCCCCTTTTTCTTATTTGTGAAATATTGTGTGAATTGTGGCCCTTCCTTTTCTGGGAAAGTCCTTGATTCGCACCTGAGCTTAATAACGACTATAAGTCTGATAATCTAGCGCCTATAATTTGTTCTTTGACATCATTATCGTCCGGTTTAAATATTCAGTACAACGTTGAATATGAATGCCTAAGAGGCGATGCTTTCACAGTTGCCAAAAGAGAAATGGTAGCGGTAATGGGAAAAGAGCTATTGCTTTTATGCTTCTTACTCACACGTTTCTGTGATAAAATAGAGAAATATTATGACGCTGTGCAAAGTTCCTTTTTTAAAGCTTATAAAATGCATTCGGTCTTTGGAAGAACAGAAAAAAGAAACGCATAATAATACAAAAATCATGGTAACAAGACAAACCAAAAAAGGTCTTAAAAAGTCACATATGATCTTTACAACAATTGTTTCAGAGCGGTGAAGCTTTCGTGCAAAGCAAAAAATCTTGCATGTAATAGAGTTGTTGTGGTCTAGCGGATATGCCTCCGGACTGTGAACCACAAGGTACGGGTTCGAATCCTTGCCTGAGCGCGAAAGTCCTTTGGCACGATGTTAATCCACACATGAGAGGCAAATAGGTGCGTTGGAATGCACTGTATGCTGATTACACATGCCAGAGCTAATTAAAGCCGGCGGATAATTTTCATGTCTCTAGCAGCTTTATATCATAATGTGATATGCACTTTACAAGACCGCAATATTATTATTGATGGAGAAACCTACGAAAACATCTTTATGAACACCAACATTGCACGATACAATTAGTATCGCTACAAGGATTGGATTTTCTTTTTTCTTTTTTCTGGGGAAGGGGGATCACCGGCATGGGATATATTCCCAGTTCATTCGTATCTATCATACATCTGACTATTTTGGTGATCCTTAAAGCGAGTAATTGCTACTGGTAATGAACTTGAAATACCACTCAAGCGAGGTCCTCTCGCCAGGCTGTTCACTACCCTTTACTTCTAATGAAGCATAAAGAAGATCATCTGGTAAAATCCTCCCGTGACACTAAATCCCCCTTCAAGATAGCCTACGTAACGAACTTAAAGGGAAGGGGGTCCTTGAAAGGCAGACGTCTTTGAACTTGAGTTCAATGAAAGATGGACGTGGAGCTTAAAGGCAATGTTGGGTGAATTTCAATCTGCATTTTAAGTATTTGCAAAATTGTGTGAGTCTTTTTTTTTTAAAGCCTATAGATACAGTTGGTCGCATTTTACGAAGATATCTATGAGGTGAGAGTTGTTAATGAGGCCATTCTTTTACTTTCTTTTTTCAACATTTACAATAACTTAATAATTCTTCTATCAATTTTTTTGTTGTTGCCAGTTTGTAGTGGCCGAACAGCTTGAAATAAAAATATCTGATTCCCAAAGTGTTCCTTTGTTAGATGCCAAAACGATCAGGGGAATGTTATTACATTTGCATCCCTTCATAAATTTCTACCCCTGCCGTTTGATGATTTAAAATGTATTACATTGATAAAGAATTCGTCCTTTATTCTACAACTTCTACATCATCGCGATACAATGTAGCATAAGAACGGAGGAATAAAATTCAAAATCTGAAGCTTGATAGTGTACTCGACTGTTCATGAAACTAGACAGTATATAGAGCATGGGAGCGGTTTGATAGACACATTCTTCATGTATTCGCTTCTTAGGTTAATACATTTCGTGCTTTCCCATCGTGGCTGGGCGACCCACGATGGATGCATGACGTTTACATGGTGATCATTCTGTCACTTTCTTTCTGTTGTGATGGACATCAGAGGAGTGTCGTCATCTTGTTTTTGCCTAGGCACAGGTGTTATGCCACTCGGGTTCTGATTGGTCACGGCCAGTTGGTCACGTGCGTGTACCCTCGTGTGAAAACGATTTACGTGAAGGCGCCCATGCATTGAAACAACGTGGCGTGCAATTTGTCCGTTAATAAAGTGCTTGTTGGTTTCACTCAAGCCGCCAACAATTAACAACACCTTGTTTATCATGAGGAGGGAATGGAAGAGAGTGAGAGAGAGGTAGATAGATAGTTAGGCGGGGATATAGGAGAGGTAGATGAAAAAAGGGGAAAGCGATGATAAACAACTTGTTTATCATGGGGGAGTGGGATAGAGAGAGAGAGAGAGAGAGAGAGGGGGGAGAGAGAGAGAGAGAGAGAAAGAGAGAGAGAGGGGGGAGGGGGAGTAGTTGGAGGGATAGATATCAAAGAGAGAGGGGAGAGAGAGAGAGAAAGAGAGAGAGGGGGAGGGGGAGTAGTTGGAGGGATAGATATCAAAGAGAGAGAGAGAAAGCTCAGGTCGGGATGAGAGAGATGTGGAAGGAAAAGAAAAAGAAAGAAAGACAGGGGAAGATCGATAGAGAGAAAAAAAGAAGAGAGAAAAAATAGAGACAAGGAGAAAAAGAGAGAGTGAGAAAGAGAAAGAGAGAGACAGACAGACAGACAGAGAGAGTGAGAGAGAGAGAGAGAGAGAGGGAGAGAGCTAAATGTAGAGGTAATGGATCCTTATGTTTTTATAACAGTTTTTATGAGGGCATTGACACGGTTATTACTCTCGTTCCTCCATATCTGAATAATATATCATTCATGGCGGCAACAGTACACGTTTTATAACAAACTTTGAAGGTTCATAGTTATTGCCTGATTATGCTAAGATCAAGGAATATTTCAGATTCTGTCAACAACCGTTAAAAAACCTCACCCCAAAGCCAGCACAATGCCAAATTTATTCGGTGAAGATTTATTTTTTATTTTTTGTTTTTTATCAGGAAATCTTTGAACGTCAGAGATTATCAATGCTAAATTAAGTTTTAAAGAAAAATAAAAGGCCAAAAAAGGAAGGGGAAAAACGTCGCAAATTTAAGCAAATACTTGTCAAAAATCCCATGCGACAACCTAAACTATGCAATTAATTTGAGGATAATTTTTTGAACAAAAACTTTAACAATATTTTGGACCTCTCTATCGTTTATCAATACGAATATTCAATATATTCTTGGTGCACATCAATGCGTTTGTCCTACGTCCAAAACGCACATGAAAATTCATTAAAGCTATTTTTGCTCTGAGGAGGATTAAGGCAGGAGCCCGATTAATTAAGACCATCACGCTCGATTAATCTTAATCTGTCTGAAGTCTTGTTCGATGAATGTAAACTCTAAGAAGAAAATGAATGGTACCATAACACTTTCCTATGCATAATGAATTTTCAATCGGATTTGTTGTTTGGTAGACATGCTTATATTGCCCCGCATGTTTTATCCCCAAAATCGTTTCTGAAGTTGATTTCACACAATTTGCATGTTTGCGTAGGTTTAAGTCATTTCGGATTAACGGTAATCGGACGGGATTACCAATTCTACTCTAATTCGTTTTTCATTAAATGCTTCCGTGACTACGGATGCTATCGGTCATATTTTCTTCTTTTAATGAAATTCTCATTTTAAATTCTCATTTTATGAAAAAGATTGCAGACATGAATTCAGTTATATTATGATATCATAAAAGATATTTCCCCCGACATACTACAATTACGCGATGTCTAGTCGCATAAGCAAGTCTGTTTTGGTTTAGCCTTGTTGCCTTATAAATTTGCATGTGAAAGAAATAGGTTTTACTTTGAGCAGTCAAAAAAAGGAACCGTCCAGTCATAATTCCTCATTAACTGTGGAAAAGAGACAGACACGGTTTTAATTTTATTCTTAATTGACATGTATAAGTAATGCAAATTCTTGTTTTCAAGAACTAGACTAAACCTTTTTGCAGTCAATGAATGATTAAATTCACAATAAATTAACCGTTTGGTCATCTCATTCATAATTCTTATTAAGGAATAAATACAGACACGGTTTTCATTTCATTCTTGATTTGAATGCTTAATGAAAATCCTTATGTCGAAGAAAAAACTGAACTTTAGCAGTTTATGAATAATTCATTTTTCGAATAATTTAACCGTTCAGTCATTTAATCATAGTTCCTAGAAATTACTAAATATTGACAGACACGAAATTGATGTCATACTGGGTTTACATCCATACATGATGTATATTCTTTTGAAGAAAAAATTCACATCAGCCGCCTTAGAAACATGGCCGGTTGTTTGAAATTGTTCGTTGCTTAGTTTCAATCAGAACTCCATCATAACAGACAAAGAGTTCACAATTGTGAAATTGTTTGGAGGACCTACGATCAACCCAGATCCATTACAACTATTGTCTTGTGGTGAAAACAGTCACTAGATTTCTATTCGGAAAGATTACACCGCCCGAACTTTTTTCCATCAACTTGAAGGTGATTTTTGTTTGTTGATATAATATAGTTAGGCTTTAGATGCATCATAAAATGCAGTATTTTGCTGAACATTCATATTTAACCTAGTGATTTTAAGTAGCGGCAACAAAAAAGTAGTATAATGATAATATTATATATTTAACAGGGGATGAAGAAAGCCAAATCCTTTCGTCAATCCTTTTCTCACCAATTTTAGAAAATTGCTTTCTTTCCAAGTAACCAATGTGTTTAAATCACAATAAAGTGATATTAGCCAAGTCCCAAACTTTCAGAGCGAAAAAGGTTTGAAGCTGAAATACGGGTTCAAATGAAGCTGTATTCATTTCACGAGGTCCTATAATTGAGGGCAATAGTTAAAGTGGGTGGGTAGAAATTTCATCCTACGAAATTTAGGAACAAAAGGTTGTTGCACGGATGCGTACGTGCATGAATGCGTGTGTGCGTGTGGGTGTATGGATGGGACTGTACGTGGCAGTTTTTGTTCAAGTTATATTTCCTTGGAGTAAACAGATTAAGGTTAAAAATCTTCGACATGCAAATCCATCCAATATTGGCGTGTAGCCAAAATACGTCACACGTTAGCAAAATTCCCGGCAGTTGGGAATACAAAATTTTAAAGGAATGATATAAGGAAAGCAACTTATTATCAAGAAGGAATACAGAATAAAAACATAACTCCCCAAGACGCAAAAGAGGTCGAACAAGGGAAAAAAAAACCAAGAACAAACAAAAATGAAATGGAAACGATGAACTTGTGGAGAAATGTTTCTTTCTTGGAACACGGTAGAAGCAACAATTAGTTTAACACACAACAAAATCAGCTGCCGCAACAAAACCAAATTGAATTTAGGCAATGCTCTTCAGGCGGAAATAACAACAACAACAACAACATCAACAATAACGGAGACGACGGCGACAACAAATGAAATATGAACAATAAACATGTCAGTAATGCTTCCTAATTGGAGTGTGGTAATACAACCGCTCCTTAGGGATGGTGCATCAAAGTATCTGATGCAGGTATCACTTGATCGCGATAAACGAACATGAAATAATATTATACAAAGTTTACTTCTTGTTGATCAGTGTTTTTATGGCGATCAGTCAATTTTGACTATTATCACCAATAATTGTTATCTTTTTTTATAATCATATGTAAAATACAACTCACTTTCTTCTTGTTTTGGGGGTAGTTATTTTTCTTTTTAAAGATAATTATTATATATATATATATATATTTTAAAGATAAAATAGTATCATGGCAGGCTACCGAGTCCTGTTGGTTCTAAATTGGCACCATCCTGACAAACCTGCTCGTGTTTTGTACGATGGTTTCTCGGAAACAAGTTTCCCATGTCTCTCGAGTGCAGACAGGGGGCTCCCTTTGGGGTTCCTCAATATCTTGAAACTCGAAAAGAAAGGAATATCAAAAATCAAAGGGAACCAAAGAAAGATCTTTTCCAAGGAAATTGGTTTCGAGCGCAATCTCGCATTTCTATCAACAAGAACTCAATAACAAATCTCCTTTCCCTGTTATGACGGGAGGAGGGTAGGAGGGGTCGGAGGGGTGCGGATTTGTCGAAAATTGTAAAAGACTCACAACTCATTTGTCCTGAAATCTTCTACTTCTTCTGCATCATCCCACGTTCCTGGTTCGAACCCCTCCATCTCGTCCGACGGAGCTCTCCTTTCACGCTGTTGTCTAGTAGAAGGCATTACAAAGAAATAATAATAATAATAATAATAAGATATTTCAATACCGCAAATTTTATTTGCCTCTAAGCGGTTTAGAAGGAAAATAGTTGATATGTAAAGGAAACATTACAAATTACATCAATTTAATTAACATTACAACTTTGCAATTGAAAATAATACCTGTACATAATTACAAATCACTTACAACCAAAAAATAAATAGTTCATAAATTAAAAGTATCCTACGTCAATCTACAAAAGATATAAAAGGCAAAAGGTCACAGAAAGACAGAAAGAAAGAGACACCAAGCTGAGGTTGGGAGGCGTAATGGTTATGATAAGAATTGGGTTTAAGATTTGCTTTAGGTACAGGATTGTCGTTATGACGGTACAGTGAAACCCCCCACAAGGGAGACAAGAAAAGTGATCTTTATAGGCAGGTGGTCTTTACGTTCAGGTTCCTTTAGTGCATGTTTTAATAAAATGAGAAAGCATTTTCAAGGGAAACAAAAAGTGGTCTTTGTAGACAGTCGGTCCTTGACCATAGTACGAAAGCCATTAAATGCGTGACAATATGTGCCCAAGTCAATGTCATTTTCGAAACTCCTGTATTCGACATTTTCATTTCCATAATTTTCCATGAATTCTATTTTGAGATTAGATAAAACTCTTGATTTTAAGAGCCATGTCCCTTGGACAGATACCTGAAGTGGCACTAAAGTTATTAAGAATAATATTTTGCTATATTCAGCGAGGCTGAAACGAATTTATATTATTGTAATAAGAGGGGTCAACGTGGTATAGTAAAGGTTGAGTTCTGGAAAAGTCAAGAATAACAAGTGAATTTTGTATTCTGTTCTGTTCCCACGCAAAGGGTTATGATAAATAGCAATGGCAAGTGAGTTCGACACGCTGTCATATTTCAGTAACTTAGTCTCACGATGGAGCTCGGTTTTAAAAGGTACTACGTCCATAAATCTGAGAAAATCACGATATTTGAAGTATCATATTTACCAATGTTAGTTTGGAATGATACTTTGACTGATTTTACTATTGTATGATACAAGACAATTATAAAACCACATTAAAAAGAAATCTAAGTCGGCACAAATAATTTTTATGATTTTTCTTTTTAATGCAAAGAAATTGGATGTAGTACTTTTTGGAACCGAAGTCTTGCATACTGCATGCAAGTTTAAATGCATGGCTTGAATGGAATTAGAACCTTTTGGAACCGAACTGATTTTCAAATGCCATTTTAAAACCCCTTTTTTTCTCGGAAATTTAGCTTTTTAGAAGTGTCAGGGTATGAGGCTACTGGAAATGTGTACATTAAATGCAAACAAAAAACATGGAAGTAGTGCCTTTTGGAACCGAGCTCTTCATATATGGATGAGTGTGTATGGTCTTATTCACTGCATGGTAATTTAAGGAAGATTGGCTTGGTTTAATATATTTTTATAATTATTAAAATACGTATTTTACAAACGTCTGATTGCAATACAAATCAACCATTTCCAAATAAGTTGTACACAGTCAATTTCACATCATCATCAATCATCATGATCACTAATGCCTTGCCAAAGAATGTGAGTGCCGAACTGGGATTCGAAATCTTCACCTTAGGAATGAGAGTCAAGTGTAATAAACCACTATACCACGAGAACTTCACCCTGATCTTCAAAACGGGTTTGTCGTACTTACCGTCGCGGCTTCTGAAGAAAGTGATTTTCCTGCAAAAGTCGCATGAGTTAGCAAACTGTTGCCTTTCATTTTTATTTCTGAAAAGCCTCTTGAATATCAATTAGGGAGTTCTAATATTATGCTATTTGATAAGTGCTTGTTCTTAAAAAAAAGAGGAAAATGTGACCGTATATAACCTCTCGAGGTATACCTGGACTTTATAATGGGGATATTTTTGTCTCTGCTCGTGGAACTACATGACAGAAGTGTTCAGACACTTTGCTTTTTTAGGAGTCCTAGGGGAGAAAATCCCATTTGAATTTCAGATGTTCTGAGCATAACTGTTACAACATTTTGAATTGGAAAATCTTTTCAATTTCACCTCCTGAACAGATAAGATTATCTTTTATCGAAAGAGATATAAAATATTTTGCTTAAAGTATGACTTCAGTATGGTATTAATTGTATACAAGGGGGTCCTTTTCCTGAAGGCTAGTTCCCTTTTGACACAAACATGACAGCAAGCTTCTTTTCCATTGGCTAGTAACAAATACACCATTCTCTTACAGTGAAACACATATAAATTTACGTATAAATCGGGAATTAACCTACCAATATCCGGGAAACCGTCACCCGTATTCGTTCAGCGATGTGGACTATTTGTATTATTATAATGTTTTTCATTTGGAATCATGCTTTTAGATGAGGACTCGAATTATTGATTTGAAAATGATTTTGTTTTCTTAACCTATTAGTTCGATCTATTCCTTCGGTGCCTAAATTGAGAAGCTGGAAAGTTGAGAGACGGTCAAGCTAGAGACGCATTGCTCTTGCACGCTTGCACACGAATATATATTTTTAGAAAGAGCAGAAAGAAAATTAGGAAATAATGTACAGCAAAGCATCTGCTTCACTTTAAGTGAACATTCCTATAAATGGAAAACGCACGGCTTGAATAGCTACTTTCGAACATTATAGTGCGAATTTGATCTAGCGGTAAAATCTATGAGTGCAATTTTCGGGGTAAAATGCAGGGAGTATCATTTAGACCTTTTAATGTAGTAAAAGGCCTACTTGATTTCCGAAAATGAAAAAATGGATTCAGAGTTTATCAAAGAGATGTAATACAGGAGCATGCACTTCAATTTTCAGAGAGTGAAAATTGCTATCATTCATCAAACCAGTTAAATGTGTTTACGCTTATGAATGAGTCAAGTAGTCTGCTAACAAGTCGATTTTATATTCAACGAGATAAGTTTCTTTTAGAGAAGTAATTTCGAATCTGATATTTGATCATATAATACGGCATTGTATCAAAATAATTCAGACCAAAATATATTTTTTCTGATAGTTTTAAACCTTTCTCTCTTAGTGTGTGCCTTATTGGTCTATATACTTACGGAAGCACATCTGTGGCTGTAGCCAAGCCTAGTAGCACTGCCGCAAAGACGGCTGAAATAACGACTAGTGACGACTGCATGGTGAGGGTAAAGGCAAACCTAAAAACATAGAAGAAACAAAAAGAAGAGAAATTAGACAGAAAGGAAAATAAGAAATGTTGGGAATTCTATATTATTAATTGCTTCATAATTATAACATGCCTTTAAAGAAAGAAGGGGATTTGATGTGCATCGTGTATTCCTTTTTATGAACAGTATGGTAAGCAGTCTTAAGAAGGTCGAGAATTTTTTCACAAGTGTACATGTCGTATAATTTGTAATAATTGTGAGCCTTGTGACAACATTCTTTTCGTCTAAGCACTACCAGTTTCAGAACAATACTTAAAAAATTCTTTTAAAGAAAAGGTGATATAATCGACCGATATCGTAAAAACAGAACCGATTCTTAATTGAAAACATATTAAAAAGACTACTAGAACAGGTAATCCCAAAAGCTGACCTAGAAAATGACACTTTTGGACTACACAACTGTCTATGTATACCGGCTGCAGCTGCGTCACAACCTAAGCAAACCTTGATTCTTATAATGAAGTACGTGTATCTTGTTCAAATTTGATATGCATATCATTTTCAATACAGTGCGTATCAAAACTGGAGCAAATACATTCGAACCGAGGACATTCACACACGTTCGTGGAAACAGCGTACAAAAAAATGAGAATAAATGAATATCAGTCGATGCCGGGGTAATTGATAATCAAATCCAGGAATTCTGAATCACCTTCCCTCCCCGCAATGAATTGCCACACCACCATTTAAATCAACGCTCCGATGCTTACTCATACTGAAATAATTTGTTTAAGAAACGCAATTATGACGTCATCATCTCTATGAATAGAGGAAATTATCAACGTGTCCAAAGGTGACCCTGTACACGTGATAGAGCGTTTCAAGTTTTGCTTTTGAACGTAGGAGACTATCAGGTTTTGAGGGCATCCTTTTCATGCAAGTACAAATGTGCAAATTGTATTCCGTCATATGGTTTATATACATTGAAATATTTTTGAAATAAGGCAGGAAGATATCTGTAAGTTGGCATCGGAGGCTATGTACAGATGATTTTAGACTTCCCTGTGTCAAAATTTACCATTAGTAATGTCTGTTATACTCTCATATTTCCTTTATATTTTGAATGTTATTACGTTATTTGTACTATGCATGTTTATAATTTCATACTAATTTATATTTTGAAATGTACTATGCAAATTTATATGGGATTTTGATAATGGTAGTTAATTAAATTCAACTCATAGTTGGCGAAAATGAAGGGGAAAAGCACAACCATCAAGAAACAAAGAGTCAAACAAATATGGCGATGACTTGGCGATTGTTACTGATATATGTTTTCATCTGGTTAGTTTCTACCTACTTAAATATTCCGTATTAATATTTGCAAATGAAATTATATTTTTCAACCCTCATCATTTGTTAAAACACACTGATGCATTTGTTTTTATCTTATTTCGTGTTGGTTTAAAAGAAATATGAAAAACGGTGTATTTCATACCTTATGGGAGATATTCCTGATAATTTTTGATTTTCTATTGTTTTATTACCAGTTCTTTTTTTAAAGATTCTCATGTTACATGAACTTGAAGTAAAACAAAACTATGTCGGATACAAGTCAGAAAAGCGTTGACGGATAGATATTGGGTCGATTCCATGTAATTATGCATTGGTTTTTCAGTGTTTGGAGGAACTATTCCCTTTCTGATCTGCTTCTTTAACTATTTGTCTTCGTGATAGACTTAACTTTGGATAGAGTCAATCAAAATTGTCTTAGGATGGACTTGAGTTGTCATAGCGACAGATCAGTGTGGAACTTGGAGATTTTGATAGGATTGTAACAGTGAACCGTAAACAAGCAAAATTATAAACTAAATGGAGGGGAGGAAAAGGAATGGTTTCATAAGAGCGATGTCTTCTTGCAAAACCAACAGATATCAGATACCTTCAGGGCCTTCTTTGATAATAGAGGAGTAATTTTCAAAGCTCTTTGGAAGCGCACCGGGTCGTTATATCGTGATGCAATAACCGTTACTCAAGAACGGAATGTTACATTTTTTTTTTATTATCATCATTATCATCATCATTATTACTATTATAATTATTATTATCATTAGTAGTAGTAGTTGTAGTAAAATCATCATTTTTATCATTGTTAATGTTTATCATTGTAAATGTCATATATTTGCACATATGTAAGTTAAAACAAATTGAGACAAATGATATAGAAAGCAATAAATCGAATACAATACACTAAAATAAAATCTACTGAGATTTTTTATTCTCTACTTGCAATTCTATTAGGAGAATAAGCTTTAATTATCGTATTTATCCAAACAGATGTTGTCGTTTTTAACTGTTTTCTTGATTGTTTGTGTATGGTAGTTGGGTTTTTACAGACGTGTATCAATCAGATATGATGATTATCAGATATGATTATTTAGGTCTGGGGACTGACTTTTAGCGTCACCATCCGAAAGACGTGACTCAGTTTCGAACCTGCGTCCTCGGCTGAATCAGTTTGCAACTTCCATTGTTAGCTGGATAACAGGCGCACGCCACAATGCCTAGCTGATTGATTAATGTTTCTTTTGATAAGCAGTGTATGTGAATAATTATCCAGGTCAGCAGACTTTGGAACAAAAAGTTGTGACAAAATTGGTGCTTCATGATTATTTTTTCACATGTTTTCTTTAGTTCATTACCTTAATTACTAATCAGCTGGTCTCATTTTCATCATTTCCACCTTCCCGCGGAAAAGTTACTCTTATTTTACGTTTGTTACACTGCTTACGTTTCATATTTTTCATTTTCCTTCCGCATTCCTCGAGTCCAATGCAATTCATTTTCCACGAAATTAATCTTCGAAAGAAACCTTAGATTCTTCTCTGCTGTCAATACGTAGGCCAATACACTCCCGGTCAGCACGATCAGGGAATTCAATTACATGACTGAAAATAGCCTCGCTTTTGTGCTATTTCTCTTACGCATCAGCCCGCACGTTTTATTTTTTATTTTTTATCACATTCGTGCTTGTGCGTACCCGTTAGCCACTAAACAAATACAAGCAATACCACTACCGAGAGTGGTTCCATGAATAGTGCTTCAACACACATGAAAACACCGGTGAACACTCAAATGGCCTATACAATCACGGTGCAGAAAATGACACGTGATCCTAATGTTAAAAATATGTTTCATGTTTGTTTTAATTTGCTTAAAAATTATAATTTTGTGAAAATCAATAAATTCTACTTTTTCACATTATATGCTAAGATTTCTTTATTTGGATAAAGTTTTCCGTCATACAATTTTCGATTTATATTTTTTTTCAATTCACATTTAGTGTTGCCCGTTAAGCCGACAATTCAGAGAATACACCTGTCTACATATCAACAAGTAAAACAACAAATAAAGCAACAGCAGCAACAACAAAGTCGTCTTTGATAGCAATTAGTTATTGGAACTGCCTTTATTCAATTAAATATTTACTATATGAGTTTATTAAAAAAATTGTCTGAGTACAAATGGAAGTGGGTGACCGGTGGGGGGGGGGGGGGAGAACCCCATTGTATGTTTATTATCATGAGGCCTTTTGATCACACATGTTATTGTTGCCATGGTTGTACGTACTACAGTATATTTCAAGTAAAGCTTAAAAGTAATTTTTCCAATAAGCGCCCATGAATTATTTATGCAATAGATGAAAGACTAAGTTTAGCTGAGTAATTGGCGTTCACTTTACCTGGGGAAATGGTAAAGGTATACATATACAGTTAACAACTGATTTATTCATACCCTTTGTAAATTTGATGTTTTTCGTAACTAAAAAATGAAAGGTTGACCGGTCGAGTTGGGGCCATAATTGAAAACTTTAAGATGAAAGACTTAGGTTAGCTGAGTTATTGACGTTCAATTTATCCGGGGATATCCTTTCCGTAATTTTGTATTTACGATAAGGATACCGTTATTTTTAAATTAAATTACTGAATAATTACTTTTACCCTTGTAAATTAAATTAATAATTACCCTTACCCTTGTAAAGTTGATTTTTTTTAATGTGTCTAACGTATCCCAAGAAAGAAAGGTAGACTGTTTGAATAAGGACCTTTATTTACTAATTTTAGTTGTAAGCTTTGATATATCACTTTCTCAAGATACATAAATCGGGACAATCAATATTTCACATACTTTAACAAATCACAAATCTTGGTCAATATATGAATATATATATATATATATATATATATACATATAACTGTCAGTGTGTGTGCGTTATAGTGTGTATGCGTGTCTGTATTTGTGTGGGAAAGATGTCAAGGATGTAATGCGAATTGAGAAAAGCAGTCTTTCACATATTTGCATACTTCGAATACCGCGGACACAAGTTCAGTTGATTTTGGAAAGCTCTTCATGAGCAAGGAATTTTCCTAAAATTTGTTTTTAATTCATAGTCTTTAGTGATATTCCACATAATGGTCAATACCATTTATAACTCGATTTAAACAAAAACACAGTGCAACATAATGTTACATTTGTTCCTCTGCATAACCAAGAACATTTTACCCTCTTAACATTTCGCGTCAAACAAGTCAGGGCAGACCAACGGTTGTCATTATACAGAGGGGGAAGGTTGAAGCAAAACGTTATCCTCAAGTTATTTTCTTTCTCTTTCTCTCAGAAACGGCTCTCAACCTCGCCGCGACTTGACCAGAACAAATCCAAACCTTGCTCAACATAACATGATAATATCAATATCCGATGCGTAGGAAGCTAGATGAAAAAAAATCAATTCAAATTCAAGTAGCAGTCATCGAAAGGTAGAGGGGTTATTCCTTTTCCCTTACACTTCTACACCCCTAAAGGAATTCAACAAGATTAAATTCTTGTCCTTATTCAAACAATCCTTGCCCTCGCTCAAACGATACAACATGTAGTGTACTAAGACACATAATAGAGGAGTTCACACCAAAAAATAGTGCGATTTGGATCGCGATGCAAAAATTGATTTGTTTGGGCGACATTCACACACA